AAAGATTCCTGAACTTAAGAGCCAACGGATTTCCTTTTTGATTTCCTTCGGTGTAAAAATACAGAGAAGTGGAAGAACTTTTTCAGTTTCGGGGGAAAATGTAGAGTTTGTTGGATTTGATTTTGTGGGTATGTAAGGGTTTAGGGCAGTGTACCGGTGACCACAATTTATACACAAACGCGGCCCTCCTTTTATCATAACCATAAATAAAAACTGAATTAATATAAATGTGGTTACTGCTCTACACATACAGCGCTAACGTGTTCGCGCGGCTTTAGCTGCCCAATTTTATTGATTTATTTATCTTATCATCTCGTTCGGATATTACTTTTAAAAATTCTAAATATAAATAGTTATACTTATATTTTTATATGATGTTGTCAATTAATTAATAATATTTAAATAAAAATTATCACATAATTATTTTAAATTATTAAAAAATTCAAAAGTTTTAGTATTTCATTAGAAATAATTTTTCTGATGTTTTAATTTTATTAACGTGTTTGATAACTATATTCGTTTTCTATCTAAAAAAATTCAAAATGATGTGCTGAGTAAAACAAATAGATAGATAGTTAATTCTATTTTGAAAAAGAAAAAAATTACTTTATTTGTATAAAATATTATTTGAATTAAATTAATTCAAATTTTGTATATTTGAAATTAAATGTATTGATTGGTTTTTTCTACATCGAAAAAAGAGTAACAGGTGTTACGATCAAGTGGATTTGATGGATGAACTAATATAAAATTGTGAATTGACTAAATGATAATGTCACGGGTTATAAACTTTGGTCGAAGTTCTGGGGCGTGACAATAATATATATAGGAATTAAATAACATGGTACACTGAAAAAGAAACACATATCACGCAAGTCCCACTCGTAATCCAACAACTCCAAAAAGAAAATACAAATCTAAAAATAAATAATAGAACAAAGATATATCCGAGAAGGTCAGATAAAATGGTAGATCGGCGTGCCACGTTTATCGTGAGGGGCTATGATTTTTAAATTTTCTATATTTTAAGATTTTTAAAATATGTAGATTAAACGTCAGTTTTAAAAAATTGTTGGTTTAATTGTTCTAAGTTCTTTTAAAGGAAACACTCTGTATATAAATAAAGCGTACAAGTTTTGTTTTCAAATCTCAATTTCATGTACTAAACGTATAAAAATGAGGCAAATTGGGTTCAAAGATCAGGAGTCTTTGCTGTCAGAGATAATGCCAGTGGCCGCAGATATACGCAACCAAACTGTGGTTAGAGAATGCCAGAAGTTTTAACTAATTTTTTGTGTCAACTTTTAACCCATGTAAAGTGGTTTTGTATTTTTATTGTAATAATTATACATGAGTTTCTTTTAATCGTCTATTTTCTAATTTTTAGTTTTCATTGATGTATTCAGAGATGTTGGTGTATATTTTATACGTTGATTGTTGTGTTAATAGCATCCGTGATTGACCTATAAGGGAATATTTTTAGGGTTAATATAACTTCGATCTTTAGGCAATATTCAGTTTTTGGCTTAATACCAAAATAAGTTCCCAAAATATACCTAAATTTTTTAATAGTTGCATAAACTATTTTTTGGCCCATCCAGGTGCCTAACGTTATAAACACTACCCATTTAGGTGTTCGGGCTGTCAAAAACACTAATTTTTCCGTTAAACGATATGTTTCATAATATGGTGATTTTAAAAATTTTATTTTAAAATTATATATATGTTTAAAGAAAAACATAAATATTTTGAAATAATCTCAAAAACTTTAAAAACTTTCATTTCAACTCCTAAACCCACGTCGACCATCGCCTTTTGCCATCGACGAAACTCCACCCGACCTCATATCCCCATGGCGACCAAAACCCCATGAAATCGTGACCGGTCGATGGTCGATTGATAGAGAATCATCATTTTATACCCTGCGAATCCTATGATGAAAATCACGATCTCGACGACAACTACGACAACGTTATGACTATGATGATGGCAAGGACTACGTTAGCGACAACGATCGTGGCCAAAAAGGGGGCGACAAGGAGTTAAGAATAGGATTTGGGAATTTTAGGTATTTTGGGGAATTTTTATAATTTAAAAGAAATTAGGGATTTCTATAAACATAAATTTTTTTTAACAAAATAAATTTCAAAATCACTATATTGTGACACGTGCCACTTAACAGAGGAAATTAACACCGTTGACATCCCAAATACCTAAATGTGTAACGTTTATAACGTTAGACACTTGGATGAGTAAAAAAATAATTTAGACACCTATTTGAAAAATGAGATATAGTTTGGACATTTATTTTGGTATTTAGCCTTATTTTTATATAAAAAAAAACAAAAGGTTTAAAAAATTAGTAAAAGAAATATCAATTTGCTGAAGACAATGTGACAAGTTGTAGAATCATTATATTAACAAAAATAGTACTTTTTTAAAATTATTTAAAAAAATAGAAAAATATATATAAAATAACAGAAAGAAAAAGATCATACAAATATTTATAAATATTATATAAAATTAAAAATTAAAAATCTAGAAAATTGTAACAATATAAAAAATGTAAAATTAGAACACAAAAATATTATATGAATCCACATAAAAACATGTACTAATGATTAAACAACAAAGTATAAATATCATTTATATAAAAAAGTATAAATATCATTGAAAATCTAAATAAAAATATCTTTCATATTATTTAATAAATCCTCCCGGATATGGCAACAAAGTTTATATGATTATTGCTCCGAGTACTTCACAACCGATGCTTTCCGGTCAACATATTCAAACTCTATAAACCCAATTGCAACGCCAGATATGGCTGTGCAAAAGAAATCCTCCACAATTGAAGTACGCCCTCCCGCTCTCCGTCATGTCTCCGATCCTCCCAAGAGGAAAAGGAAAAAAAAATGCACATAAAGGACCCTCTAAGCGACTAATGCATTGCAGCAAGTGCCAAGGAGGTGGACACAATCGACTAACATGTCATCTATTCTCGTAGTTGCACCGAAGTTGCTTCGGATATGTAAGATCGCTGTCGACAAGGCTAGATCAGATTATGTAATTTAGGGTTTAATTATAAACCCATAGTCATGAATGACTTATTTTTGCTTTTTGGTCCAAAACTGTACCTTAGGGTTAAAAAATTAAATTCAAAGATAAATCAATCAGACATTTAGTTTTCGAATGATTTGAAAATTGATGTATAATATGGCGCATAATTAAGAAATTTATATATCCGCTTTAATAACGATGTATTGAATAATCAAAATGTTAATACTTTGAAAATTGAACGATTAAAATTAATTTTTTTATTTATCTGTAACACGTTAAAATAAATAGAAATTTATATGTATTTCATGAAATCAAAGTTAACGTTTTATATTTAACATTAGCTCAAATTAAAAAATATATAATGTTTATTTAAAAATAATTTTATTAATTTCAAAAACTGTGATGATCAGGTTATCATTAAAAGATTGGTTGATTTCAGACCAAGGTGGTTTTTGGAGACCGAATATCCTACTAATTTACGGTGAAAAATTGTTAAGAGGTTCAAATCATATGAAATCTCTCCCTTCCTCTCAATTTTTTTAATTAATCATTGGTATCCAATCTATTATCGATTAATCTAGATCGAGTACTACAGAGGCGAAGGAGACCCTCCTAATCCAGTTTGCTTCATTCGCAAACGCCAAAATTCAAACTCGTGACCTTACTTAAGAAACCTAGTGTCTCATCCCACTAGACCAACTGATTGTTGATTACTCTCAACTTTTTTAATAACAAAAAGGAGAGGGAAAAATGATCTCACATTGAATGATCTCCTCAACCAAGTGGACAAGAGTTCTCTAATTTATTGTCTTTTTCATCACCCACAAAAGTTTTTCAATTTCTAATTTCTTTAAAATCAAATAATAATAATAATAATCATAATTTAGATAAGATGATAAAACTAAAAATATTTATGTATTATTAAAAGAGTAAACTTCATGTATAATCATTAAATTATAATAGTGGTTCAACTATTTAAATAAAATTATTTAAACCACTAAAATACTGATATAATAATTAAAGAAATTTATGTAATTATATATTTTATTTTTACTACTCGCATAGTCTATCAATTTAATATTAATTTTAATTTAATCATCTAAAATAGATAGATAATAAGAAAATCAAACTCTGAATCACATGAAAAGTTAAAAGATATCAACCACTAATTTACATATTTACTTAATAACATTTGGCAATTCTATTATTCAGAGTTATTTTATTATTATAAACTAAAGCAAACAAAACTAAGATTAAAGCATTCAACTATTAAACAAATCAAGGCATTCAAACTTATGTCTATCAAGTCAAGTTTAATATTTTTATTAAAATTTATAATATATTATATATAATAAATAAATATATATATATTATATTTTTATTAATAAATCATTAATCTAATAAAATATTTTTATTTTAATAAAGTATAATCAATTATATTCATCGTTTGCATATAATTATTATTTAAATTTTAAATATATTAAGATTTGATAAAATTATTAATTTTTATTATTTTATAAAATTATTATTTATATTAAAAATATATAGTATCATATTTTTAATTTATTCTTATTTTTCTAGATCTGATTCTCCTTTCTCCATTTTTGTCATTTTATTTTCATTTATTTTTAATGGCCATTCATTCATTTGTTTATTTTTCCTCAATCTTTTATTCAAATTATAAACCACCATGTTTATACTGTAAAAAATCTATCGTAATTTAAATTTATATATAATTTTTAGTTTCTCCAAACTATCCCGCGATTAGGGGGTGTTTTTTTTTTGTTCTTCTCTAGCCCGCACGCACATCCATCGGCTTGATCGAATCCCAGAAAACATCCGCTTTTAGTTTTTTTTTTTCATTTCGAATCCGTATGTTTCATATTGATAGGGTTGCAGCTACAGCGGATCTTTTCGTTTTCATTGGTTAAATTTTCCAATTCCTAGGGTTTTCTTTTCTCTGCTTCAGATCTGAGTTCTACGCTGTTTGCTTTTTCGCAAAGATGTTTTGGCGTATGGCCGGATTGTCAACTGCGTCTCCTGTGAGTTTCGCCTTCTCTTGCTGTTTTCTTTCTTATTTTTCTCTGTGCTGACGTGTATTCCTTTTTTTTTGTTAATTTGAATCTTGGGGTTTCTTGCTGGTGAAATTTCTGTTTGGATGCTGACAAATTTCAATAAACATAATAAGGGCTTGAAATAGTTTGTTTCATTGTCTGGAATGGATTAAAAATGTTTGTAGTCGATACTCGTCATTGTTAGAATAGTGGTCTAATATAGAGTACGGGCAGTTTTCAATGGAGATTTTCAACTTCTCTAATTGTTCTTTTCAAATCAAGTTTATAAAATGTCAGGCGGCATTTGCTACGGGATAAAATGAGTACCCTTGTTTTATTTCGAATCGATGGGCGTTTTTTTCTTGTAAAATGTGAAATTCAGCTTTTGTTCTTGAGCATCAATGCGTTCTTCTGTCTGCATTTATTAGAGGGTAATCTTGTGTTTTTTTTTTCCTCGAGATGCATTAGTGTGTTTAAGATTGGCAAAGAGACGGAAATAGTTGGACCCTATCTTTTTTCTTACAAGTAGGTCAGATTTTGGGTGCAGATCTTCTTAATCTTAGGCTCGCATTATCATGATCATTTTAGCTGCAGCGGAAGATAATTTTGGGTATGCTCTTCTCTAGAAGCCTATGATGACATTCATGTAATAATCATTTATCTTTTAGGTTTTAAATTTTTATGCGAGGCTGATAGTTGTGTTTTACCCATATTTTATTCCCTAATAAGCCTCATTGTCTAAGAAAATGGTGTTTAAGGGTCAAGGGAATGGCTGCTATTAGTTTTTAGTGAACAATTAATTTGTGTGTACTATTTTCTGCCCCTATATTCTTTAGATGTATTTTTTATTCTTTTTTTTGACAAATTTCGTTTTTATGTTAAATGCAGGTTGAGACAATTTTAGATAAGGAAAATTTTACACTGGAGGAGCTGCTTGATGAGGATGAAATTATTCAGGAATGCAAAGCCCTTAATGGGCGACTTATAAACTTGTACAGCTTCTAGCCTACCATTGTGCTTCCTTTCTTCTTTCATCTTATAGCATGTTAAATTGTTCTATACCATAATGTTCTAATGTGATTAAATATATCTTTTTTACTTTAATCACAATGCAGGGTTTTGTCCTAAGTGAGAAATTGTGTTAATGTTTTGATCGTAGTTCATAGGTTTAAATATTAAAAGCCCAATGCAAAAGCTTCTGAACCCAGTGTATATGCAAAATCTAAAAAGGGGCAATATATGATTAAGTCTCTCATAAACGTTAAGGGGCATCCATCATTTGAGATTATTAATTATTGTCTTCTTAACTTTGCAAGTAAATATTAAAAATAAAAGTCAATGTATTGAATTCAATATTTCTATGGATGTCAATGCAAACTTGGTTAATGACATCCTAGAGATTACAGCGTTTAATCAAGATAGACGCAGTTCAAAATGTTTGGCAAACAACACATGGAAGCTTGATGTAGAATGCGATTAATTTTGTAGAAAGTTTACGAAGCTACACCGAATAAGAATCAGTTTAAAATTGGTAGAAGTGTACACTAAACCATATGAAACTTTCAGTGAGATCATCAGTTCAGTTTAGGCCTTTGTATAAAGTTGTGCGTGGTCAATTTTGAATTAAGAAGAACATATCGGAACATGGATGAAAGTTATAATTTCTCTATTACCCATACAAGAATGTGAACCCTTCTGAGCTTGTATCTCCTTTTCAGTTAACTGGAAATGACTCAAGTGCTACATAATTCTGCATAAGCTGTGTACCAAAGTTGTATTGCCCATGGACGAGTTCTTAAGAGATGATGAGTAGACTCTGCTTCTGTTTTGCCCAAAAAGCTTATTCGGAACAAATTGACCTTTTTCCAGACATGCACCTAGGTGTGTCTAGCCTTGCTCTTTAGTTCTAGAAAACAAAAGTGCTTAAACCTCTTTCAGGCAAGGCAAATTTGATCAGGCACACGTCTAGTGTGCTAGAATAGATTGCCTTTTTTGTAAGGCAATAGGCACAAAAAAGAATGCCTAATTGAAATTCATTCTATTTTATTTTATTTTCAACTTTTTTCATTAATGTGTTTCTAGTGGGAAGGGGGATGTTATATAACTCTGTACTTATCAATATTTGAGTATCCAACTGCTGACATGGGACCATAAGGAAACCATGCAGCGAACAAGAAAATGCATGTTTGTAAATAAGCTCGGCCGCTCTTCATAGTTTATTAGTTTGATCACATATCTTATGCTTATACATGCACTAACACACAAAACATTAAAAACACACATTTCTTCACCAAAGCAAGTATTTGCTTTGTGCCTTGTGCTTGAGGCGATATGATGATTCTAGCACCTACAGTGTGCTATGTGTTCTTGACAACACTGCTTATATCTATTCTTATCAAATAAAATAACCTTATTTGGGATCCCTTCAGAGGGTGCTGATGGCTTCAGTTGTTGGAGGCCTGAATATTTGCTCATTTTAAGATTGATCCTTTCAAATCATTTGTTTTTAAATGACTAATTCAATTTTTTTTTCATTCGTTCACTTTCTCTTCATTGTCATATTTTGTTCTCATTTGCAGCTTGAGGGAGAAGGCTCAAGTTGAACAGCTTCTTCGATATATTGTGGTAGAACCTCCAGAGGATGCTGATAATAAGCGAACTTTCAAGTATGTTTTAATAGTTTAGCAAATGGGTTTGGTTAGACTCCTCAATTTTACTGTATACTATTGTTTTGTAATACTTGATTTGTGTGATTGTAGGTTTCCTTTTATTTCATGTGAGCTTTTTACATGTGAGGTTGATATAATACTAAAAACTTTGGTAGAAAATGAGGAAGTAAGAAGTTGACCCCCTTTATTCCCCCTCTATTTGAATTTTTACTTTTTTATTAAAGCAAGTTTCTACTGGTGCTTGTTTGTTTGCAGTTAATAAATTTTTTATTTTCCTTTTTGGATTCAACTCACTCCCATAGCACACCACTGGCTGGGTACTTCAGCAAGGTATCCTGTTTTTCAACTTTCGAGAATTCACATGTTTAACTTAACTCCTGTGCATTTCCTTTATTTATTATATTTAAGTATACAAGGGACTTTGAATATGTTGTTATCTATGCTAGTATGTTTCATATTTGGTTTTCTTCCTAGGTTGTCATATGTTTGCTGTTGCGGAAGACATTGCCTTTCCTGCAATATGTTAAGGTATGTTAAAGATTTTATTTAACTTGATCGAGGGATTTTTTTTTCTTCTATTTGTTTATGTTAAAACAGGAATGATTGATTTTTCCAGTAGTATTGCATGCATTTATGAGAATCTATACTACTATTTTTTTGATAGGAATTGTAGGCCTCGTTAAAAACCTCCTTCTTGATTAAAGGAGCTTGTAGAAAAGCTCCTTAATCAGCGGAAGGAGGAAAAGAGTGCCTTAAGATTTCATTAACCAAAAGAACCTATTTAAAGTCCTGACTGAGTTAATGTAATTGATTAATCGGGTACCAACTCATTTGGGAAATGACTGAAAATCCATTTTTCTAAATTATTACTAAAATTATTAATGTAAGGGTATTTTTCCTTTTGATACTTTTATAAAATATTTAAATAAAACAACTAAAAACTACTATTTAAGAATTAAACACATGACTAATGAATTATTATATTCTTATCCTTTACCATTTCACCTCTAATTTTTTGTTGAATAAATTTTACAAGTATATTTTTATATAAAATGTTTTTGTTCACCAACATTGTGGTTATGACAAAATCTAATTTTATTTTAGTTTTCTATTATACATTGCCCATAAAGTATTCTAAGAATGAATGTGTGGAGTTTTAAACAAATGAACGAAATATTACGACATTGTTATATGCTTTTCTATTTGTCCATCTACCTATCAAATTTGGTTGTGCGCTTGTTTTGGTGGGTGGTTTTGTCTCTGTTCTGACTTTTTGTTCATATCTTCTTTGAGCAGTTAAAGATGTAAAGTTTGCTGTTCCCCCCCCCCCCCACTTCTTTGCCTGTTTTGCTTTAAGGATGTAGTGTAATAGAAGATGTTGCTGTCCATACTTAAAGAAGTTTGTGTGACAGTAATATACTGGCCTATATGAAGAGGGATTATTATTGGCAAGGACTAAGATAAATTCAATATGTTGATGTAACAAGGACTAAGATGTTGGTGCTTCTTAATTTAACACGAATTTGGGGTTCCTTGCGTGGTTGAATTCCTTGGACTAAGATGTTGCATGCTTGTCAATATAGCATGAAATGGCCTCTTAAACTTTTTTTCCTAGAATTATTCCTGTAGCTGTGTTGAAATTGTGGATGCTTATATTTGATGTGATACTGTGTACAGCAAATAAAGCCGTTCCTTTGAATTGGCTTCAAAGATGCATCTGTTTTATTTGTCCAATTTGTTACCTTTATGATGTTGTCCAGGGCCATCAGGAAATTGTCAAGCGTTTAGTTGATCTGATTGGCATAACTTCAGTAATGGAGGTTGGTGTTACTCTATCTTTGTTGTTATTTTGTGTAAATGAATATCTCACTATAGTTTTTTATATTTATATTCATTTAAAAGATTTGTGCATTTGGTTGTTTACTAAAGTTTGTTTTGTTATGAATAAATTAAACTTTTGGCCTTGGATTGCTACTCACTAACGCTGTGAAAGGTTTTTGTTAGCTTATGCTAGTCATTTCTTGTTAAACAGGTTTTAATACGTCTTATTGGTGCTGATGAGCATATGTTCTCAAACTATAAGGAGTCAATGCAATGGATAGAGGATACAGATGTATTGGAGATGATTGTGGACAAATTCAGCTCTTCAGTAAGTGTCGTTGATTGTTTGAGAAATATGAAAATTGTGGGTTTTTCCTACTTCGTTAAAATGCAGTTTTTACTAGAGGCTTTCTCACTTCTATGGGTGGCATGGTTGGAGCTTTTCTTTAACTTGTTTTGCTGCATTTACCTATTTGATTCCACCCTTTCCCAAGCGAGGAGCCCTTTAGGTAGAAAATATGTTAGTCCCAATGACACTTTATTTAACTTTTGATGTGACCTAATGTAAACATTAGCTTGCGTTCTTCTACTTTAGGGTTTTCATGGCACTAATAGTGGTTATGTTTTTGAAAAACGTTCAAATGTCTTTTTACAGGACTCTGCTGAGGTGCATGCCAATGCAGCTGAAACCTTATGTGCAATAACACGATTTGCTCCTCCCGGTCTTGCTGCCAAAATTACCAGCCCAAAGTAGGTGTCATTATTTTCTTCTCATGTTTCTTATACATAGGTGCTAACAGTTTGTCCCAACTCATCAATCATTTAATTTGGTACTTTCTTTTTTCTTTTTCCCCTTGGTGTTGTTATGAAGTTTCACTGGAAGATTATTTCGTCATGCTTTGGAAGACTCTAGACCAAAATCTGTTCTGGTCAATTCCTTGTCTGTGTTCATATCTTTGTTAGATCCCAAGAGGCTAACATTGGGCGTATATCATACATACCACCAAGTTTCCCAAGGATCAATGATATCTGCGAAGCCTGATACAGTTGAAGGAATGCTGGAGAGTTTAGGTGAAAGTTTTCTTCTTTACTATTACATGAATAACAAATCCATTTGCATTTTCACCTCATTTAGAATTGGGAAATGAATGAACCAAAGTTGTTATAGTGATGCTGTTTCATAGTATATGATTTCATAGTATCATATTTCCCTCCTAGAGTTAATCTTTTGAAGCGTTCTCAACTACTTGTATGTATGAAAATGTTGACATAAAAGGAGAGCAGAAAGACAGACTACATCCCTTTCTTGTCTCTGCATTCTATGTTTATTACTGTAGTCATATTAATTCTAATTAATCTAATCCTTAGCCATCTACAACTTGTTCCTTTCACTGCCTTGTCCGCCGATTTCTGGAATGTCTTGACTATCTTAGTTTGTAACTTTTTAGTTTTTTTGGCATACCCCTGTCAGATATGTATCCTATTTTGCTGAATGCACATCTGTGTTAGACACTGATATGACATTGGCACTTTGGGAATTCATACTTGTCCTTGCTTCGTAGCTATGGCAGATGCCTAAACAATTCATTTTGACTTAACTTCAAAGGTCATCACTATCCTACAGGAGAACTTATAAATCAGGTTACCATTCTGCAGGTGAGTTACTGAAGCGTTTGGATGTTTCATCTTCAGAGTTAACCTTGTTAACCACATATGGGAAATTACAGCCTCCTCTTGGGAAACATCGTTTAAGGGTATTTCTTTATTTTTAAACTTGCATTTTGTCAGTTTTGAGGAGTGACTGTCCTTTTCTGTTGGTCCTTGTGCATGAGTTGGTTCTAGCTGACAATTGAGCTTCTTAATTTCTATATCTGACCACTATTTCAGTGGTCCTTTTATATGGATCGGAAATTGTTCAGCCAGAAAAAGCTGATGCAATTATTTATGATTTGACATGGAATTTCCCAGATTGTAGAGTTCATTTCTGTCTTGCTGACAGTTGGTAGTGAAGCTGCTGAAAAGGAATTGATTCGACTGGGTGCTGTGGAAAGGATTTTGAACTTATTCTTTGAGTAAGTTATATATTCCTTCTGTGCAATGATATGATTTTTGCTTGGATCCTCTTTCTCATACCCTTAGTTAATTCTGTACACAGGTATCCATACAACAATTTTTTGCACCATCATGTGGAGAGCATAATACTGTCATGCTTAGAGAGCAAAAATGTTCCACTTGTTGGGCATCTTCTACGTGAATGTAACATTTTGAGAAAAATACTTGAAGCTGAAAAGAATTGCACATTAACTTCTGATCCAAATATGGTAGTTACTGTGTCATGCTTTATATAGCACTTGTGGCATTTCTGTAACATACTTTAAATGCATGAGCTTGTTAAAATTTTACCCCCTGTTTTAGCTGAATTGGTGCTTACTTTTGCCTCTGTTCTATTCTCCCACAGCCAACAGTTAGTGCTGAAGGTAGAGCACCACCAAGGATAGGAAATATTGGACACTTGACACGCATATCTAACAAACTTGTTCAGCTTGGAAATAACAATGGTGAAATTCAGGCATATCTGCAGGTTTTAAATCTCTCGAAGAAATTTCATTACATATTTTCAAGTATTTAAAAATGTTCGGTGTATATTGTGAGTTGCAACATTTAATCAAGCATTATTTTTTTGGATTTATGATTAGAGAATCAGAAGTAGAGCTTAATTCCTACAAGTGAATCATGTCTAACGTTCAATCTATCCTATGTTTTGGTCTCTGTATTCTGGGACTATACTTTTCCTGGTCTCAGTTAGGGGTAGTTTTGTCATGCCATTTAACTCCATTTGTACTCCATTCTTTCAACCTTGAATTTCGAAGTTCTAACCATTAGACGTTTCCAGGGGAAAAGTTTTCCGATTTCTTCCTGATGCTAAACCTTTTAGGTTTAATTATTTTTACACTTCCAGTCAGTTGTATTCTTAGTTTGCTTGTCCCTTGACAGGAAAACAGTGAATGGACTTATTGGCACACAAATGTCCTATTGAATCGTAATGCTACAGAAAATGTCTACCAGTGGGCTTGTGGGTATGTCATCTTCCTCAAATGTTGTTTTTCTCGTTTATCCCTATGTTTTCTGCAATTTTCATTTTATTTATTTATTTATTGCCTTTTCAAAATTAATTTAATTTGGTTTTATCTATTTTAACAGGAGGCCAACTGTTCTACATGACCGGAACAGAGATAGTGATGATGATGATTACCAAGACAGGGATTATGATGTTGCAGCCTTGGCAAACAACTTAAGCCAGGCATTTAGATATGGCATTTACTCTAATGATGATATAGAACAGGTTCTTTCTAAAACTTTCGTGTTAATCCAGCTATATATATTTACTTATTGAATATAGGATGAACATGAAATAAGTTATTCTACATTTTAAATGGATATATTTTATACTGCAATTGAAGAGGCATTGTTTGATATAATTTTGTAGCCATGCAATTAGTGACTATATGTTGCGTTAAAACTACATTTGATATTATTTGATATGCTTCATTGACTTGCCTTAACCTTTGTAAAGTTTCTTGATGTTTTGTGAAGTTGTTTGTGCAGTTATTGCAGTTTACCCTACTATTCTTATGTTTATTTTCTTTATATCTGTCATCGTTTTACCAAATAAAAATGTGCTAGCTCTTTACTTTGACAGGTTGTTTCTCTGTATTCTTATCTTTAATGTTAATGGTTTAGGTATGCTTTTATTTCATTATTTGTTGTTATATATTCATTATGGTGTGAAATGGGTAGACACTCCAATTTAGAAAGTGAACTATTTGTTTCTTCCATTTGCTGATATCTTTTTCATATATTTCAGGTACATAACTCACTTGAAAGAGATGATGAGGTATATGTTCTGTATTATATGAAATTTAGAGAATAGTTGGGCGGTTGGTCTGTTTGAATAATTATGTGGAAAAAACTTTATAAACTTATTCCGAGGACTCTTCCACTTTGTGCGTTTTACAGTGAAGTTATAAGTTTTTGCTAATAATTTTGCACTGTTGTTTTTGGTACTCTAAAAAAGATCATCCTTTATGGTGAAGAACATGCCCTCTCCCTGCCTTTCTTTGTCCTCTTTTATCATTTGAAATCGAACTTTGCCTGCCCCATCTTTGTGAGAACTTTTGTGCATAATTGAAAACTATTTCTGTTTTACTTTTCAGGATGTTTACTTTGATGATGAATCTGCTGAGGTTGTAATATCTTCTCTGCGCTTAGGAGACGACCAAGAAAGGTAGGTTGAGATCTCTCTTTTTTTTTTCCGGGCAGCGGGTGGGGAAGTAATTGGTGGGAATTAGAATTTAGTCACTTTTGTTGTCCCATCGTGAAACTTTTTTTTTTGCGTTGATTCGATTTATTGACCTAATTGTGGGTATTTTATTTGTTGTCTGCAGCGGTTCTCTTTTTACAAATTCCAACTGGTTTGCGTTTGAAGATGATAGAGATTCCAATGAATGCTCGACTGGTGCTATGGCTTCTGCATCGCCTAATGCTGAGGGAGCTGCTGTTGTCAATGGTGAAGGTAGAGATTATGACATAGTAGTCGGTGAAGATGATGACTTAGATGATACCTCAACATCTTCTCAGGTTTCTGAAGGAAAAATAGATCATCCCTGTGATCAGTCTGAAGACTCGAAAGAAGCTGGACTCAGTGAAAATGATAAACCACATGCATGGGTTGAATGGAGAGAGACCCCTGGTTCCAATGAAGCTGCTGCTATTGTCCCAAATGGTGAAGTGCAAATAAAACTGGTTGACAGTAACCCTGATAGTGCTAGTGAACCCTCTTCATCATCCTCTGTTAATACAAGTGAAACTGCTTTGGAGGCATCTTCACAATCAACAAACGGAGACCTCGGCTCAAATGCCCTTCAGTCATCTGTAAGTCCTCTTGTTCCCAAGGATGAGACAACTTCAGGAACTGAGTCCGCGCCTATGATTACACAAGAATCGGTTTAAATCAAGTCATTATGTGGCAACATTGATCTGATGTGGGTGGGCACTGCTTGGTTAATCAAGCTGTCATTCTCATACAGCCGTGTATACACGGTTGTTGATCAGAGCCGATGATTCTTTTCACAGCCCACCAATGCTTGGCAAGTTTCTGATTTGGCGGATTTCAATTTGAGAGCAGGCGTGATTAGGCTTGTCTACAGCCACTGCTAGCAAGTAACCCAACATTTGATCAATCTGTTGTCTAGCTTCTTATAGTAACTCAGGAAGAGACGATTCTATTCCAACTTTTACGTGTTAATATCACATTATTGTCTTTTTCCCCTACATTGAATCTCAAGTGTTAATTTATAGGAACGAATTCTGGTGAATGCCCTTATCATAACCTTCTGTATTCAGCCTGGGGTTCTTCGCTTCACCCTTTCCCCTTTGGCTGTAATTTTCTCCATATATTATTGTACGATAAGAGAGAGGAACAAGGCAGGAACCTTTTGGATCTGATCTGTTTGTGGCCTTTTGTGGAGGAATACTCGGCACAACTTGTGGGACAAAATCTTCATCTGATTGAACTTGTGTTGGTTGTTTTATTTGCTTCAGAGTCTACACCAAGATTAAATTGCTCACTTTTATAGAGATCAGTTTAATTTGTCTAAAACTCTATGTTGCACAGACCCATCTCTGGTGTAAATGTATAAACCTCTTACAGTTTTGCATCTTTAATTCAAAAAGCATTCCATTTACCTTGGCCATGCCATTGCCAAACAAGCTCCAACACGTGCACATCCATTAAACCATTTCCAAATTATTATCCAAGTTGTGGAAAAAATGTGCAGCATAACTACTAATACTCCTTAATCCTTTCTTATATTTTAAAACGAGCATTTCCACCAATAAAAAACATCCATAAAATAAATATAATTTAAAGTTTTATACTGGGGAGCTCCCAAAAATAAATATTTACAAGCAAAATATTACAAACCGACTCTTAATAATTTTTTTGACTCAATTGATATAACAAGGTTTATAAAATATACATACCCTTAAAAAATTGCTGAGACGTACTCTGAATTTGCACTGAGTCTAGACCTTGATCTATCTACTACTCCTCGAACTCTCAATCTATTGGCATGCCCACGGAAAATAATCCGAAGGCTGAGCTAACTAGCTCAGCACGACCCTAACAACTAAAACACACTAAAACATCATGGTGCGGCTGAGGGTTCTACATCTCGGAGCTCACACACTCTTTTAGTCTACCGAGAATGTAGCCCCTAGAATCTCTGCATCGGACACCACAATCTCGACTAGCCCACTCCTTGAGTGTCGAACCTTGTGCCCAAACTAGTCAGCTTAAAGTACCTTGCGCACTCCCTAAGGATATATCCGGACTGAAACTATACTTTCATCTCTGCTAGCTTCTCTAAAGGAAATCGAGTGTTTGAATCGTTTCCCGAGCATTCAAACAAGGTAAATCTTATTTCACCTAACTTTATTCTCGTTTCTACATTTGAATTAAACATTACTACTGTTCTCACTTGTAGTCTTATTTAAGAGTAATTATGAACTTTTGGGAAAACCTCAACTCTTCTTAAAGCTCTCTTGAACTAAAGCCCAAACTGAACCCTTAGTATCGATACTGCTTTAAAGTATCGATACCCTCACTTACCTCTACACTTCCTCTTGCTTTAAGCTCAATCCATACCCTTGGTATAAATATTGACCTTATAGTATTGATACCCACTCTACAGTATCGATAACCTACCTAAGGTATCGCTACCCCTATAGTTATTTCATCAATTGCAACCTAACTTAAAACACCTTCTATAACACTTATTCTAGTGTTTTATGCATTTTCGATCCCCTTTATGGTCATACTATGCGTCTAGGGTCTTCCGGGAAACGTTTTGGGCCATTTTTGACATTTTGGGTAGGGGTTTCGAAACCACTGAGGGGGTTTCGAAACCTCTCAGGCAGAATGCCACTCTAGACAAAAGGTTTCGAAACCAACCTAGAGGTATCGAAACCTATAATGCAGATTTCACTTTTTCACCCGAGAAAACTCTCCAAACACTCTCAAAACCATCCTAAGGTCCTCAATGCCTACCTTGAGGTTTCTCAGTTATTATTAAGTCTTACGTGAGTTATAGAGGTCAGAAACAATGCTTATAAACATGCTAAAAACATTAAACATGAAATCTACCATGAAAATCTATTAAACATGCTTAAACTAAACTTTCTAGTTAAACTTCTTTCTAATGATTCTACAAATGGTATGAGAAAGCTATAAGTGTGTTACCTGGCTTCCTTAGCTACTAAAACTCTTCTTGAACTAACTAGGATTCACCTTAGTTTCATCATTTGCTTAGAAACTCTTTTTTACCTCTTTACTAAACCAAGCAAGGAAATGGTTACTACTCAACTAAGGGTTAGATTAAGTTTAAATACAACTCCTAAAACTCAAATCTACCCAAAAACAAGCTTAGAACACTTGATTTCTCTCGACTCTTAAAAACCCATTTTTGGAAATCTTAACCAAAACTTAAGATTAAGAGTTAAATGGAAGCTTGAGGGAAGAAGATTAAGGTTCTTACCTTGGTTGACTCTAATTTGGCTTGGAATCTCAAAAGCTCTCACCTTTTCTTTTGCTCTTGGGAAGAAAGAAGAAGAGAGAAATGAAGAGGAAAGAGAAGATATTTTGGTAGGTTTGATTACACGTGAAAAACAAGGGAGATAAGGGGTTTTCATCCTTTAAAACCAGTTATGGGTAAACTACACTTTTGGTCCCTCTCCTTTTTACCTCTACTTAAAACCATTACATAACTTTAAGGGGCTAACTCCTCTGCATGTTCATGGAAGATGTTACATTCAAGTTCCGTGGCCTTGCATGGCTTTTCCTTGGGGTTGCCAACAATGGCAGTCTCCTTTATGATGATGAGTTTACGAAATACCTAGAGGAGTACCCCGATCAATTCTGATATGATCGAGCTCTTAGTAGGGAGCAGAAGAACAAGAGTGGAGGCAAGATGTATGTTCAGGATAAGATCGATGAATACAGTGATGAAATTTTCAAGCTCTTCGATGAGGGAGCCCATATATATTTTTACGAGCTTAGGGGAATGATGCCCAAGATCCAAGAAACGCTGAAGAGAGTTGCGGAGCAGAGAGGACAGAATTGGGATGAGAAGCTTTCATAGCTGAAGAAGAACAAACAATGGTATGTACAAGTTTATTAGTTTTGCTTCGCTGGATTTTAACCCAAATTCATTCACTGTTTGAAGATAATTAATTATTTACGGGGTTCACATGGAAACCTTGATTTAGCTAAAGTTTTGCTGCATGCATACCTTTCTGGGATTGAATAATTGAGCTAGGCTTCATATTTAGTGCAATAAACTTGAAAATCTTTCCATTTTATGATTGTTTAACTACCAGCCAGCCATAATTCTTTATCCTGAAGAAGAATTAAATAGGTTGTGTCGAGCGACTAGCCACAATTAAATGAAAGGGTCTGGATTAATAAAGATTCTTAAAATATTTTCATCAATTTTTAACCGATATCCGACTCATTGGTCTTGAATATATATAAAAATTCATTTTAATCCTTATTCTTTTTATTTTTTTTTTCTTTGAAACTTCAAATATTAGTATAAATATAAGGGTAAAGTATAGTAATGGTCACTGAACTTTTTTAAAACTTTCATTTAGGTCTCCCAACTTTTAAAACTTGCAATACAATATCCCAACATTTAGTTTGTTTGCAATATGGTCCCCCAACAGTTACTTGGGGGACCATATTACAAATAGACTAAATGTTGGGGGACCATATTACAAACAAACTAAATGTTAGGGGACTATATTATAAGTTTTAAAAGTTGGGGACCTAAATGAAAGCTTTAGAAAAGTTTAGTGACCATTACTATACTTTACCCTAAAAGTAATTAATAAAATAAAATCAATAAAATACCAAAATTGCCATTCTTCTCTCTTCCCCAACCTCACCTTCACCGTAACACCACCCCTTTCCCTAACCCCCAACACACACTTGTTTCCTTTCTCCTAGCCCACAGTTTGAAGCTCAAAATCTTCAATGATAAGGCAAAGATTGATTAAAAAAGGTTGCATTTCCACCCTAAAAATACAACTTGGAGCTTAAAAGATATAATTTCTCAAAAACTAGCTTCAAAGAACACAAATTTGAAATATCAAAGAAATAAAAATCGAAGCTTTCTACGAGATTTTCCAAGTAAACAAACAAAGGTTAAGAAAAACTGTCAATGAAGAAAATGAATGAAAAATGCAAACACTTGGAGCTTAACAATGGTTTTCTTTTTAAAGGAAATGCAGTGGTTTGTTTTAAGATCTTCAATTGGTCAAACTAATGTTGTTTTTATTAGTTAAGACAACATATTCCATACAATGACCAAAAATTCATGCACAACAGCACAAAATGAGAGAGGTGAAACCTTAATTAAAACTCATAACCCCAAAACTCAACTACATCAAACACCAAACCATTTTCTCAAACCTCATCCTCAAGTAAAAGCATATTCGAAATTCCCTTATTAACCGAAAACTTTCGAACGGTCTCGAGGCAAAGAAGCACACCTTCCTCGAGATTGAGCTCTAAGAGGGCATGATGAAACTTCCTCAAAAACTCAATGTCCGACTCCAACACCGACAGCTCTGGCGGCTTTTTCGGGAGCTCATGGTACCACATGATTCATGAAGCATTGAATCGATCTTTGGAAATATGTTCCTGAGGAAATCATGATTGATTTCGACTTCCTTCTCCACCACTTTCTCCAATTGGATCCTCAAAGGAAAACCATTGGTTACCCCTTTAATGTTCGACGATAACATGTTGTGAGTTAACAATCTCTTTCTCTCTTCTTTTCAGTGTTATCGCTTGGAAACAATGGTGTTGGGGCTAGGGAAAGGGGTGGGGGAACGATGAAGGTGAGATTGGGGGAAGAGAGAAGAGGGCAATCTTGGTATTTTATTTTATTTTATTTATTTTATTAAGGGTAAAGTATAATAATGGTCACTGAACTTTTATAAAGCTTTCATTTAGTTCCCCCAACTTTTAAAACTTGCAATACAGTCCCCCAATATTTAGTTCATTTATAATATGGTCCCCCAATATTTAGTTCATTTATAATATGGTCCCCCAATAGTTACTTTGGGGACCATATTATAAACAGACTAAATGTTGGGGGACTATATTGCAAACACACTAAATGTTGGGGGATTGTATAGCAAGTTTTAAAAGTTGGGGGACCTAAATGAAAGCTTTAGAAAAGTTTAGTGACCATTACTATACTTTACCCTAAATATAAATAGATGGATACATTTTTTTTATAGAAAGCCGCTAGTTT